TTATGCGGTCTTGATAAGACATAATACAAGGTGCTGAAATATGACTGCGTCACAAATCGGCGCCAAATTAGACGCGGCGCAGAACAAATACTTCGGTAAGATAATTACAAGGTGCGACGCTGATTTGCGGAGAACTGACCGACAAACATTTGGGCAAACATTGGACGTGGCCTAATAGTTGGTAATTGTTGACCACCCGGCCAGCTTATACTTTGTGATATTTGTTATTTTTGATGAAAAATATTGCGGAGATACAATAAAAGAAACAAGTAATTTTCTGAATAGTAGTAGGCAGGTACTAAAGTCGTATATCCGCAATCGTAGCGGATTTGCCGCGTCATAATGAAGCTTAGGTGCCGGCGAATCGTGGTATTAAAAGATTTATTTATGAAATCCAGCAGATAGGCCTACGGCGCTACTTAATTGACTTAGTGTTAGGTTAAGTGGATCTCGTAAGACTTCTGATTAACGGTCTTAAAACATCGCAACTGGATGACACTGCATGTAAAACCTCAGCAGAACTAATTAACCACATCTTTTCTTATAATTTTCCTATTGTATTTATTATTTTATGAGCAACCTAACTGTGCAACCTAAACTTTATTTGATCACACCGCGACACATTAGCTACATGGCTCTAAAGTAAGTATTCCTAAACGATATGATAATTAGACTAACGGAACCTTTGACTTCGTTGATTTGGGAAGCATCAGCAACTCTACTACCGGACAGTCGTTAGCCTGTACGTCACCGCACCGCACCGCCGCGGCCGCAGTCGTTGTAATGAATTAAAATAGACCATCAACCTACGGTAACATCCCGTGTCGTCACGTCCTGTGTCCGGCCAGCTGAGCGCCGGCAGCTCGTCGCCCGCTCGTCCCCTGTCGTCGTCACCTCGTCCCCCGTACGTCTGGCACGTACGCAATGTCAGTGAAAGTCAAACACCGGCGAGGCGCGTATTCTTTACCCGTCTCAATGGATCTGATGCGGCTTCAAATAGATCGCAATACACATCCGATTAGCGGAATTATATTTATACCAGACTCAACAATCACAGTACTAAATTATTACTAACAAATTGCTCACAAATAATTTCTTAATTCATTTGATTCACTTATTGAGTTATACTTGGATGACAATACAATTAAACATATAATTAATTCATGGTACAAAATCTTTTACATACACCTTTTTAAGTCTCTAAATAAAAAAGAACAACGTAGCTTAAATTTTAAAAAGCTAGTAATTTTTGATAACACCACACAAAGATTTCTAAAAAGTCATTAAAACCACACTTAGTTATTTATTTAGTTATTGTACGTACATATCATGTAACTTGTACCATATCAAAGTTCCTATGAGTCACGGAGTAAAGTCTGGCCGCGCAGACGTCAGGCATGTGGAAGTGCCTCTACCTCGTAATGCCCGAGTATCCGCAGAGATCGTGCCTCGCATCTCAATACCTCCGCAACACCTCGCGACACCTCTCCGCACCATGAATTGTAACAGATATGGTTAAGCCAAGGTTTTGATAATATTAATATTGATGGAGTGTATTTTAAATAATCTTAATATTACGATCACTTTATGAACAACTTCCGTTGTAAAAGACATATGGTTTTAACCAATGGAACAAGCTTGTTCTCTGAATAGGCTGTATATACAAACATGTCCTTTTAGTCTTTATATCTTAGTTTAAAGTGACTTATCATGAAGCATTTGTAATAGCTTCTATAACTTACTCATGTCCTACATAACACGTTTATGGCTACAATCAAATATAATTATTATATCAAATCACATTGTTCTTTATAATTATAACAGTCATATCCCCACAATCGTCTGACAATACTATGTGACCTTCGTCCGAGTACTATTTGATGGATGAGCATTGTGCATTGGAAGGAGAGGCGATTGTAAAATAACGTGTGTCGTATCTCAAAACAATCGGAATAAGTAAACACAGCGGATAGCTTCAAGGTTGACTGATCCGAAGGTAAAGTGGCCGTGAAACCACTTTTCAATATGTAGACTTAAAATGAAAGATGGTTAAAGTTAGAACTTTTAAAAACATAAAGTATAAATTATACCATTTTTATAAAACTCCCTTCTCTTCCTATGCGTCTCCTCCTCCGTCGATTAAAGATAGGCATATGTATAATAATTGAGGATGTCTATAGTCAGCAGACGCTTAGCTATTTCGGCGATATTGACTCCTCCCTCGTTGGCCACCTTATAATATAAAAAATGTAGATAAATTTTTAAAAACCCTAATAAAACTAATACTGTACTAAAACTGTTTGCATGTGGGTTGCATCACATTATTTTTAATTAATCGTCAATATAATTTGAAACTGTGTCGAAGAAATTTTTCAAGCAAATTCAGTTACCCGGTCGTTGAACCCGCCGGCCGTCAGCGCCACCATGACTGTCAGCAAACTCCCCGACTTGGCACACATCCAACACTATTCCATGGGATTGTGCCATTTTAATATATCTTCTATGAGATAAGACTTCTCTATTCATAATTTATTTTACGACACAACAGTAACTTGTGATTTATACGAAAATATTTCCGACTAAAGAAATTACATAACTTCGAAAGTAAAAAAGTTTGTTACTTACGTATTCTTTTGTTATATTTTTTACGGAATATGAGCCTTTTAAATGTTATCGTGTCTTCAGATATTGTTTAAGAGTAAACCAAAGATATGTGGTTGACTATTGCCTAGTCATCCCTAACTTAGGGTAAGCTCCGAGACCCTCAGTTGGGATGTAAAGTTAGCTGATAACATAGCTTATTATTTGCTATAAACTGTAAATGTATAAACTACGAATTGATATTTGTATTTTATATGTGCCTTACTTACTTAAGGTTTAGTTCTATGAAATATACGTAAATGATTTAAATTAAACTTGATCAAACATTATCAATACAATGTTTTAATACTTATAATACGTAAGATTTGTTTTTTAATCTTAGGAAATTAGTCCATTCAGTATTAGAGTGTAGCAGATGTAGACCTGCGCTACAAAATGTTTTAATTATAACGGTCTCAATTTACACAAATACACTTAATGAGGACGTTAAAATACTTTTTATATATATAATTACATCCATTAGCACTTCCAAATGTTTGATGAATTACAACAAACACTTCATTATAACTTTACAGCAATGATTGCCCTCCTCTCCGCTTAATGATCACCAAATTACTGAAAAGTACTTTTTTTTGTTCTCTTAAGCTCTTAATATTAAATTGATGTGTTTATATCGACTTAAAAATGTTGCTTCAACATTTTTAACAAGACTTTCATTTTATGTTGAAGTAAGAAATAACTTTGAACAATTAAAACAACACAATCGCATTGTTACAGTATACTTTGTTTTAAAATCGGTAGATTTTTAGACTTTGGAAATGGTTCACTTTGTTATTATTATAAGTAGTCATCAAACTCTACCCAAAACCTTATAAGAAATACCATGCCTTATATAAATTGTGTAATGCGTAATTGCGTATATGTCATCTTATATTATATATAAAATTCTCGTGTCACAATTTTCGTTCCCATACTCCTCCGAAACTACTTGACCAATTCTCATGAAATTTTGTGAACATATAGAGTTGGTCTGAGAATCGGCCAACATCTATTTTTTAATCCCGCGCAGACGGAGTCGCGGGCGACAGCTAGTTTTAAATAGATTTATTTGTTGTTCCATACTTTAGTTTTGTTCAATTAATTCGCGATATTAACCAAATAGTAAGAAACTATATGTTTACGTGCGTGTTATCCAGTTTACCTGACATTGTGTGGAGGTATAATACATTTTTTACTGTTGCCATCATTTCGCGAGGTAGTCCGCGGCCGCAAGGTAAGCACGTACCGCCATTCCTGGAAGGATTCTTTGTGCCTTTGCCTTGAACACGGCCACCAAATACATTATAACAATCTTATGTCCTATGTGGATCGAATACATAGCGTCACTAGAGTTTACACTAAAAGGAAATTTCGTTGTTAAACATATGCGGATGTTGGGAAAATCTGCACGAGTAAAGCGTGTGGTCGAGCAACGAGCAACTTTGCAAGGCTGTTTCGTATCTTTGTCTCAGTACATACATGTGTCTTTAGTGCAGAATTAATCGCACTTATTTGATTCAAAGTCTTCTAATTTTTCTCATAGCTTATTATCAATACCCAGTATACTTGATAGTTTATTTAGATATCAAAGCTAAAGCAAGTTGTGTTAGTCAATCATCAACAAACACTGAACTACTGTTAAATACTAAATAACCTCGTGTTATGAATTGATTGTCAACATCAACAACATCAACAACAACAACATCGTCTAATCTCCGACAAACAAAAGACAATCAGGTGATTGTCCGCAGCACATCAAAACTATAATGAATAGACCAGAGGACAGGCGTGACCTTTCTAATTCAATAACATTCTGTGACAATGCTCGCCAGCGCGGGGCGTGAGGTAGCGGGCGGGGGGGCGGTGGGGGCAGGGGAGCCGTCACCACGCAGGCACGCAGACAAAGCGTCGTGTTTGGCTTAGGCCGGGCCGCTGAATCACACATTCCTATACGCATGACGGAAAAACTAGAGTACTAGTACAACACTACGACAGACCCTATCACTATAGTACCTACAATAAACAGGTTCTATCTCGACATTGTAATGACTATCGTAAGATACTCAGTAACAATGTGTTTACAATGTCACACACAAAATTAGGCAGATTGACCGATTTGATATGTCACCAACGAGTATTCATATTATGTTCGTCGTAACTGATAGAAAATCTGCGTAATCACCTTATCACTCTAGGTACTACTTATTCTCTAGGTAACGTACCACCTTAACTTTTAGGTGACAGAGAAGCGAAACTGCTTTTGGACGTACAGATACATAGTTCTCTGCTTAGGTCTTTAAAAGGTAACTTATTATTACAAGTAATTAGTCAATGTAATATGTTTTTTCACGTGTGTGCAGTGCGAGGAGACGATGTCAGCGGGCGACATGTGTGTGACGGCGGCGCGAGCGGGCCCTGCGGCGCGCTGGCACCCCGGCTGCTTCGTCTGCACATCCTGCCAGGAGCTGCTCGTCGACCTTGTCTACTTCTGGAGAGACGGCCGTCTCTACTGCGGCCGGCACCATGCTGAAACGCTCAAGCCAAGGTGTTCGGCATGCGACGAGGTAACTAATATATTTTTTTAATATATATAATTAGGAAATTTATGTGTGTATGTTTATATTTTTGAATTGAAATTGATGACATTTCGGAATAGTTATCTTAACATTGCTTAAATTAAGTGTAACAGAACTACTAGAATATATTTTACGTAGATTGTTTTCATCATTAAACAGGCAGTCCATTTGCTTGTTGCCATGCAACTAAACAACTCAAGTATAAAGTTGGCGCATGTCAAGACATCGTTTCCTTACACTAAATAATAAAAATACGTTGCACAATAGGAAGTGAAATTAAGCAGAGGTCGTTGCCCTCGCCAGTTGCTGGGTAATAAATCAAGCAGTCTTATCGAATCGGGCCGGTTTAAGGGTTCGGAGGGCTCGGAGGCTTCGCGGGTGAACCACGTCGCCCTCAAACCGACGACACAATTACCTCGATAGGGTTGAAATTAAACGGTCCCCTTTTGTGATGCCTTAATTTATGTAAAAGTATGGATATATATACATTGCATTTATGTGTCTGAATACGGAATCAAAGTGTGATCTAATCTTTAACACTTGTTTGATATTTTGTATTATAACTCAATTATTTAACAAATGCTTTACCTACCCTGAAGCGTTAATGCAGTCTAAATAGGTTAAATGTATTTAACATAACAATAAACATGCTTTAAAAACATTTTATAACACAAGATGTGAATTACATCAAAGTTGCCATTTCCTCGCCAAATATTAACCGAAACGTTTGTTGCGACGGACGAGGTAATTGTCAGTACTGGGCCAATATCCGGCCGCGACCGGAACCGATGCTATCTCACCTCCGCTTCAACCCTTGGCGCACAGAGGGCGATTGAGAGATTGCACCGCGCCTGTCATGACGCAAAGTGTTCCTGAGTGCCGCTCATTATGCTAATCTTCCTGTTTTTGTGGTCGGCGTTGTTGCATTATATATTTTTAAACTTTTAAAAGTATCGCAATAATTCCTACACTTTTAAATGAAACACTTAAATAATATTTATGGCTCAAAATTACGTACAACCTTTGAAATATTTTCTTCAATATCTTAATTTTATGCGAGTGCTAAAACTAATTGTTATGTAAATAATTATAACAATACGTTTAGCCTGGGAACTAGCTTAAGCATTTGAGATGCTCAGCGCTCGAGGGGCTCGGGAGCGACGCGAGGCTTCGCATGTCGATACATTGATAAGCTCCAAATCTTTATGTCCGTCTGTCACGCGACCGCCGCTTGGTAAATTTTCTAATGCACCCTTCTTACATTTATAGACTTGTATTAATATATAATCTGATTTACATGTCTGCGTTAAATTGGTCACAAGAAATTCTCGAACTTTCAACTACAAGTTTAAATTATAAAAAAGGTTCCGAAAAAACTTTAAACTCTTTGACATTTAAAACTTAAAGAAATATAATATCAAACCTTATCTTTCTAAATGGTTATTATCTGGATTAGTGAGTTGGCGAGTGGTAGCGACCTCTAGCGAGCAAGGCCGGCGCAGCGGAAATGCAGTTACTGCAGCCTGCAGCACCACTACGATGCAGTAAATACTATACAAATGTGCAATGCAGATCAGAACTATTTACTTAACCAATAAATATAATACACGAAAATATTCATTGATTATAGATTATATCATTAGATTACATCGAATCTTTTGTAAATTCAAGTCTTATCAAGTGTGACCATTACAACCAGCACGAAATTCTCTAGTTTATTCAACAAAGGTTTGTTCGCAGTGCAGACACCGGCTGCGGCAATTACCTCGACGACTGACGAGGTCATATCGCTTTGCCTACAATTATCTATGATTATTCTATTTCTTAATTCAGATGCGAACACATCAAATAACAACTAAACTGTCTCAATATATTACGCATTTTAAGTAAATTGTATTGTAAAATTTATTAATACATTTTCTTGAGAGAGTTATTTGACTCGATCTACTAGGACCTCATAAGTAACAAAGAAGTGTCAATCCTATGTATTTCTAACGAGGATAACAATCTAGTCATTGTAGTCTCGTGTGAACACAAACAAATGACTGTAACGTGTTTTATGTAAAACATGTTACGTAAATGAAAACTCCAGTAGAGCTGCAATCGCAACACAAGTGTGAGTGAGTCAGGCAAAGAGCTGCGGCTGATACAGCCACGTGCTAATGTTTTGACTGCGCCTCTCTTTGCCTACAATACGTAACTTGCACATTGCATTATTGATGATAACTACACACACTAACACAAAGCTTTATGAAAGCCTAGCTGTTGAACGCGACTACGTCCGCGCTAAATAACAAAAACATCTATGCCAAATTTCAGCAAGATCCATGCAGCCGTCATTCATCCATACATCCAAACATTTGCATTTATAATATTAGTAAGTTTTAATGAATGCCACGTCGCATAAGACAACCTACAAAAACTGATATGAAACATTTCTCAAGTCATCTATTTTTAATTACCATTTGTTTAACTGAAACTTTTAATTTCCTTGTTCTTAATTTCAAAACGTTTTCATGATAATGTTTCGAAAGGCGTCTCGGTGTCGGCCTGATGACCGCCCGACCCGTCCGACCCGTCCGACCCGCCTGTCTCCGCGCCTAAACTTTTATGATCTATTGTATTTCATTTTTATTATGTGCCACTCGCTTTAATAATCTACAAAACAGTAAAAAAACATAATTTTTTTTTTATATATTTTATATTACTAAAACGTTTAGTGGTTTCTAGTTTTTAATCTGATATTTTCTTTTACAGCATTACATTTCTTGAACGCTTACACTTTATTATTCTTAAAAAAAACTAAAATAAATACAAATATTATGCTTTTATTTATTCTTAGAATATGCTAAGAATATCCGAAACAAATCTTTTTCAAACTAATTTATAAACAAAAGAATATATAAATGCGTTCTAGGATAAGCAAATATTTTTTTTTATCTGTCAACAATGTCGCGGCCTAGTTTCCCGCGCAAAGGTCACTGACATGTACTGGGTGCACAACTTTATCTGTCAGCAACAGCGGCTTGGGAGTCCGGACTATCTGCCTCGCATCTAGCTAGTATTGTCTTCAGTAGGTCTAGATTGCGAGAGGATTGCAAAGCCGCTGCAATACTTCTATGATGTATGTTGATTTCTTAATACTGCAGGATTATTAAACAGTAGTACTTCTGTTAGCTACAACAAACAATTACTCATAACGGAGATATAAACAGTCGTGTTAACTGATTACTCAGGACGATAAAGTCTTTATAACATTGTCGAAACATTTCAGTTTAAAAGTATGCTTCGGCCGATCAGGCTGCGATCGATTACATCATAATACTACAATATTTTTTGTATATTGGTCAATGATTAATTTGTGGCATCTTCCCTGGTCCTCAGACAGCCATTCCTCCCCTCGGAGTATTTAACGACGCGGAGGTACCGTTTTAAAATAATAATAATGAGCATGTTGTCCGCTAATGAACTAAGCTCGTGTGGGAACATTTCTCGTGCATTGTCCGCGCGGCGTTGTGCCCCGGCGAGGCGGCGCGGCGGCGGCGGCCGCTATCGCCGGCGATACAATTATGTTCTTTATCGCAATAATTAATTACACGTAACCGAGGATTGTGCAATCCAAAGCCGGCCACGTGTGTCCTCAACATTATCAGAGAGCTTACACTCGTTATGCAACACCGACTTGTTACCACCATATCATCACCTCAAAGTCACTTGGACCAAAGAACGACTGTTACTTTCATGCCAAAGCCCATCATCGGCCAATCTGTATTAAGTTGGTCTTAAATTGTCTCGTGGACTGGCCTGGTTTATTACCACACGTGAGAGCTAATTTGTATATATGTACATATGTCTGAGGGACGTCATCAATAAGAAGCGAAAAAAAGCGAAAATAATCTATCTAACAAATGTTAATATGTAGCACAAACACAATGTTTAACATTTCTAGCCACTATACATCCGAGACTGCGTGGTTTACGAATCAATTATCACTCAGTCTAATATAAATATATCATCGGAAAGCATTTCTCGCTTTTAGCACCATTATAATGTTGCGAAATGTTGTCATTCACGATAAGTATAGGGGTGTCAAAGCTACGGCCCGCGTAGAAATTTTTATGTTCATGTCAATTAGTAAATTTTATAGAATTCTTCTTTCCCCCTAATGGGAATGCGACATATTGTACAATATATTGACATTAACAAGTGTGTGTTGTTGCACAGATAATCTTGGCGGACGAGTGCACGGAGGCGGAAGGGCGCGCGTGGCACATGAAGCACTTCGCGTGCGCCGAGTGCGCGCGACAGCTGGGCGGGCAGCGCTACATCATGCGCGAGGCGCGGCCCTACTGCTTGCCCTGCTTCGACGGCCGCTTCGCCGAGTACTGCGATGCGTGCGGCGAGCCCGTCGGCGTGGACCAAGGCCAGATGTCGCACGAGGGACAGCACTGGCACGCCACCGAGCGCTGTTTCGCCTGCCACACGTGCCGCGCCAGCCTTCTCGGTCGCCCCTTCCTGCCGCGCCGCGGCGCCATCTACTGCTCCATAGCCTGCTCGCGCGGCGAACCGCCCACGCCCTCCGACTCCTCGGGGCCCGGCCCGCGCCCGCCGCGCGCCCCTCGCCCCCGCCGTGCGCCTTC